CGTAATATAATCTTGACTTAAATGTTCTTGTGTAAATTAAAATAATGTATAAGATTTTATTGATAATATATATATATATATATATATATATATATATATATATATATATATATATATATATATATATATATATATATATATATATATATATATAGGATGTATGCGTCAATAACAATGTTTGTGGATGGAGGAGGGTGAGATCCATCAAGAAACTTGAAAAGGCTATATCCCACAAGCGTAGTACAAAGTTGAAGTTTACAAGATAAATTAATTAGTTGAATTGAGTTTGATAATATTAGTGAGGGTTGTCAACAATGAGAGCACGATTAGGTCCAACATCATTAGGAATGATGTTAGCAGCCATATCATAGGAATAATGTGGGGAAGGAACAACCTGCTCTAATACCATGAAAGGGTTAAGATTGATGGTATTATTCACAAAGAATTACATCCATTTGTATTACAAGTCTAAAGCATATACAACAGCTATACGTGTGCTAATAAGGAAAGCAAATATATACTATACAAAATAAGAGAATATACTCCCTTTGAATTAAGCAATCTAAAGTCAAATGATATGGACTAAAAATATGCTGAATATCCGTGAATAATATTGATTGAGAAACAATATTAAGCAAGTCAAGGATATTATCTTGGAGTATCCTTAATAATAGTATCTTTGACAATTACTCATACATTCTACCCAAAAAAAAAAAAAAAAAAAAAACCTTAAAAAAAAAACTAAAACATGGACATGTGTTAGCTTTGGAGCTAGTGTACCCTGTTTTAGTATAGTACTAGTTTTGTGCCTGGGCGATGCCCGAGTTGTTAATAAAATTTTACGATAAACTTTTTTGTTTGAATGTTAAATACGGTCCTATAATCCTTTTTTATAATTAGAATATTTAAACATACGATATCATATTGTTTATTTATATAATAAATTACTTTTTGTAGTTTTATTTGTAAATAAATATCCATGTTATTATTGATTTTGAATTATTTTTATTGAACTTAAATTATTTTTACTGAAATGAAAGCATTTTTAGCAAACTAAAATTATTTTTACTGATTAGAACTTATTTTTACATATTTTTTAGAATAAATTAAATATATTACATATGAATCTTATTTTAAAGAACTTTTTAAAACGAATTTAATGAAAAAATATAATCTAGTTATAGGATATATATTAAAAGCTATGATAAAATTTGTATATATGAAATATTAGAATTATATCGATAATAAAACTTTATACAATATTTTTATCTTAAAAAATCTATCAAAAATTAGCTTACTTAGCATCATATGTGTCACACTAATACCTATTTGTTGCTTGTGTGGCGCGACACTTGGCGAAAAAATGTCAAGTGTCGTTGTCTCGTGGTCTGGCTGCGAGACCGGCTTTATTTATTAGTGATATATGATATAGATAGATAGATTCATTGTATATATTAAAAACTTTGATTTTGGTCATAAGAGAGGGATTATTCTAATTTTAATGTATTTGGCTTTTACATAAATTTAATTATTTAACCAAATCTATTAGATCCTATGGATCATGAAAAATGATCCAAATACGATGCCTTTTACATAAATTTAATTATTTAATCAAATCTATTGGATCCTATGGATTATGAAAAATGATCCAAATACGATGCCTTTAAAGTTTAGACAAATTATACTCGTCCTATCATATGCTGTTCACATGTACTTGTTTCTAGTTGTTCACATGTACTTCTTGTTTATACGAGTATATTAGTGTGTATTGTACGTAGTATTTTGCAATAAAGTTTAAACTCTACAAACCAATTGACATATTGACAAAATGATTAATATTAAAAAATTATGAAATACAAAAATTGGGGGAACAAAATTAATTGGTGAATGAATGAGCCGCAGCCGCATGAGACAAAGGAACTTGGCAATTCTAGGTTTAATGGTCCTACAATTGTTTTTATTGTTTTGTAATAGATTTTCAGGATTTTTTTAAACTAGTAATTAAAACGATTTATTTAGATACTAAATTTATGTAGTTTAAGGTGCACACTAGAGTGATCATTGTGAAACGAAGGAGTAGTTTAAGAAAATACATGCAGAATCATGGATCGATGTATATACACTATAATTGGATCGGATTATATAATTATTGGAACAACCACAAGGTTTTCAAACATTCACAGCATACCCCATTTTCAGCTTTACAATGCAATAATATAATCTATGACAACAAATGAGATGACAAAGTTTCTGAGCGAATTCAACTTTTTAAATGTTGTGATGCATAATTCCTTGTGATCTTATCTTAAGAATAATTATGTATGCGGCTCGGATATTTATTATTCCAATTCTTCGTCTCTATTTGTTCTTTCTACATGAAAAATACAAACCAAAATCAAAATGGTAAAAGGAAGAATATATAGAGATGAATAAATTTTATGGCTGGAAGAACGACATTATTAATTATCAAATAACCAACTCAATCTAAAGCTGAAGATAATATTTCAGGATTGGTTTTATACTCTATCACGACCTCTCACATAATCTAAAAAACCATTTCAGTTTATAAAGTTGGATGCATTATCCGTCCTCTCTAGTATCTAGCGTTAAATATTTAACTTTAACAATGAGAGATGGATGAGATAAGCTAATGGTTGAAGCATGTGTGTTGAGATCATATACAAGTATCGTAGTACACACATGATTTCATCATTATTGTTTCTGGATAATAGTGGATGATATATGTGGGTTGAAGAATGGCAAAATTGACCATATGGCCAATAATCACCTGGGCTGGTGATAGATAGATAGACAGATGTGATTTTGTGAAACATTGTTTTCCCAAAATTGCTCGGCTTGAGGATCAAAAGTGTGTAATACTAAGCCACTTATATAGGGGTGACACTCCTATCATATTTCGTTTTCAGATCGCCTGGATTCTTGGCGATAATATTTCAACAAATCAAAAAGCTTATCCAATATATAATTTCATGTAGTATTTACCACAACTCGACTAGCCGATAAAAAAGCATAAATTACAAGTTTATGACTTTATATTTTAGATGGGCCAAATTGAAAGTTCAAAATTCCATGAATTATGTCTTTAATTCAATTCAAATTTCATAAGCTCCTAAGCAAATATTACTTCCACTATTATTCTTGTTTGCTTACCGTTTATTTTGACATTATTGACATACACCCCTTTACTACCGTACACATTTTTATATGACGTACGCGTTATTAGGAAAATTTAACTGGTTAGATTCAAATGATTGATGTACTACTTTGGAGATATCATTATTATAGTATTTACTAATAGATAATAAGATAAGTAAGATATTAATTCAACATCGCACATTGACAAATTGAATGTTAGACTAATTAAAGTTTATAAATATGAGAGAGTATGTATGATGTGATCTTTTACTTTAACCAAAACAACATATCGATATCACAATTAATAAACTAAAAAAACACAGCGAAATTGTCTAATTCTAAATACTGATTAAATTGATAGATATTATATTTATGATAGTATTTGTTGTAGATTAGGATATATATTGTGTATATCTTGTATTCTTATTGTACTAGGTTTCCTAACATATATATCGATCAATGATACACACTCCAATTATTTAAGGAGTTTTCCCGAAATCTAACATGGTATCAAAGCTTTAGGTTTTCATACATTTCATGCAAGTAAATTGAGACAATATGGTAGCCAATAGAGATACTGGTATTCATTATTATTATTCAAACATGTATTAATCATCTCTAATATTTGGTTAAATATCATTAAATATTTACATTAATTATGTGCTCTTAGTATTAACAAAAATAAACTAGTCAATGTTGAAGAAAAGTCATGGGCAATGCCCATGTGGTTTGAAGACATCCCTCGTTAGGGCACATAAAAGATTAGTCCGTACTCTTATTATATTGTTCTATGCATTGCATAAGTGCATAGCAACAGCATATACATACTCTATGTAACTAGCCTTATTGATCCAATGATTTAAAATAATCTATTACTATATTTTGGTTCTATTATATGCAAATTACTTCATATTCTTAATTTGATAGCATTCTTTACCTTCCTTTCGTATCTCCATTATTCAACCATAAAAATACTCCGATGTTCATCAGTTCTTTAGGTTATATTAATAGAGATGGTCAAAAGCATCATTTTCGAGATCAGATTTTGAAAGATACATAGAGTCGCAAATTCTTTACCACTTGAATCAACTAAGCTTCACATACAATTAGACATACATCTACTTATATATTAATAAATAAATAAATAAATAAGTTCGTCTTTTTTCCTTCTCCATGCAACAAAGTTTCCACTATCTAACTGTACTTCCAAACTTAATACATACAATCAAATATTGAGAAAGCTAAAACATGAATGGTTGCAAATTTGCAATTGGATGGGGATTGCCATTATTTTGTAAAGATAGTGATGTAAATTAGTTTTAGCACTAAAAAAGTATCCATCTTTTTCAAGATAATATATAATTTTTGGGATTATCACCAAATTAAAACTTTTTACGGGGTGCCATAATCCCTAAACATTGTTTCATAATCTTGATTATTGTCTTATTCCTTGGCTTGGGGATCTTCCTTGACAATTTGGGCCTGGAATATTGTCGGATTTTTTTTGTCATTGAGCTAAATATTCAAATATGTATTTTCCTTGTCTTATCTTTTTCTTTTCTGAAATTATATTTCACAAGAAAATTAATGGCACTTGCATGGTTTCCTGTTTGCGTTAATTTGTAAGGTTTGGTATATATGTAGCATTCCATCTTCCTTTAACTTCACTAATTACCATTTGGAAGTGTGCTTTGAAATGCCAACTTTTCCTTCTTTATAAGTATAATTCGGAGTATGAGATATTAGTTTGGTTTCTAGCAATGTGAAAACTAAATATGGATGGAGATGATAATATTTTGTGAATATAAAAAGTAGAGGAATATAAGATACTTGTACATTGAAAATTACTCTCCATTGATTTATGTTTAATTATTTTAACTAAATTGTACAAATTTGCAAATCCATGAGATCGTGTCTCAATACCTTAATTTCAAGATCAAACGGTCTTGAAACAAGAAAAAAAGACCTCGTGATGAAAAACTAATAAATAGTAGTAATGGTAACAACCCAGTATGATTCCTGACACTATTTATCATTGACTCAAACCAAGTGGAAAAATTCCATAAGTTTATTTAAATGCAAAATGACTAATCTAAACAATAATTAACATCATTGATTAACCAAATGCAGTGAGAATTGTCTTATCCGAATCAACATTAATGTCTTTTGGCTTATCACTTGCAATTAGTCCCATAATTGAAGGATTATTGTTATTATTAATTCGGATTAATGAGAGGGCCTTGTTGAAATGTTCGCCCTTGATGCCCAAATACTCACTCCAAGTAACCGGCCTATATAGAGGGGGGTGGGTGGCATCAATGAGATTTGGGAGGGGATGGATCCGGACCCCAGAAGCGGGCCCATAGAGATAAGCAACCGATAAACGATGTTGGATCCGGTTAACCATGGCCCGATGGTACACACTCGGGTACTGCCCGTTTGATAAAATGTGCAAAAGGTCACCTAAATTTATAACAAGCCCACCTGAAATGGGTGGGACCGTGACCCACCCGGTCCGTTCTCTGAACACTTGGAGCCCCGACGTTCTATTTTGGTGTAGGATTGTGAGGAGGGTTGAATCCGTATGAGCTGCCAAACCCATGGCCCGATTTGGGTCCGGACAAATCGGGTATGAATTTAGTTGCATGGCTCCATTAGCTCCTTCAAGTAGATCGGCCCAATTCACAATATCTTGGTTGGATATGCCCAATGAACCAAGAATAAGTTGCATAAGCTTCTTAGCTAGTTGATTCATTTCTGTTTGGTACTCCTCAATAATGTCACTGATAGGATAAGATAGAAAGTTAGAAAACCATTAGACATATATCTTGTCCTAAATATGGCATCAAATCTAGCATAAAAAGGTGAATTATTTCTTTTTAGTGGACCATACTAATAACTTTTGTCTCACGACATGCCATTACATACCACAAAAAAGAATTTGATCTTTTTAGTGATTGGTTATTATGGCTATTTTAGTTATAATAAGCTTTAAATTATATGTAGATGATGTAGAAATTGCAACAAATTCTAGTAGGAATTTTCACTGATTTTTTTAGTGTATGTAGATGCCTAAGCTACTTGCCTAGTTATCCACTTTTTTTTTATTGCATGTGTTTGCATGGAAAAAGAGTACCTACATACCAGAATTTCTTGTAATCATTGGGCCAAAGTTGACGAGCATGGTCAAGAGGGGATCCCAAAATGGTGAACCCCTCGGACCACATCCTCTTGGGGAAAAACGATGAAATGCGGGCCGGGCCATAACCCGTAACACCATCAGATGCACGAGCCGCTTTGAGCTTTTGGTGGACCGGTAATGAAAAAAGGCTTTTACCGGCGGCCTCAATGTCATCCAACAAACTCTTTTGTATTCCATGGTTAGTAACTTGAAACACTCCCCATGATTTGCATGCAAGCCCAATAAGTTGTTGGGCTTTTGGATCATTGAGATTGATAACAGGTACAGTGTCTGACCCAAAAATACCTGACTCAACTGAGCACGAATCTCCAAATGATGACCATGCAAACGAATCAGGCAACTCTTTTAAAGACTGAAAGTCTAGGTCATGATTTTTCCTCGGGTGATGGATTAGACGAGGTTGCTCTTTAACAACGAGGGATGGCCTAGAGGGCATTGTGATCGATACACGAAGGAGGAGAAGAAGAAAAAGAGAGTAGAAAATGGTAGGAATCTAGGAAGAGTAAGAGGTACGTAGTTGATGGAACATTGGAAGGTAGAGTAATTGTAGGAGTAGAAAAAGTGGCAGAAAAGAGGTACTAAATAGTGGTACTTTGTTAAGAAGAACAGAAATCATAGGAATATGACTATGAAGAGAGTATGAATAAAATTGGAGTATATATAGAGAAAAATAAGGAGAACAAGAAGAGGGGGGTGAAACCAAAGTTGTAGTGGGTGTTTTTTGGCGGTAAGGTGTTAGTAAAATAGGACAAGTGAAAGGGAGAGGGGCATCAACAAAGAGACAATGCAAAAAACAAAATAAGGACCATCTTGTCATTTTCACACAAATATATTTTAGTCTACTCAATAAAAAATGAATGCAAGTGTAAAAGGGAAAAGGTTTGCCTCCAATAATTTAGAAAACATTAGTAAAATAAATATTAAAAGATATTTTTTGAACTGTTGTATAGAAATTTTAGATTTTTTTTTTTGATAAAAATAAAAATAAAAAGAGATTGTAGCCTTGAACCTAGCTTGTTTATGCTATGTAGACTTGGCAAACAGGTCATTTAGGTCGGGTATGGATCGGGTTAAATTCGGGTCAATAAATGTTCATGTCGGGTTTGGGTCGGGTCGGGTCATTTCGGGTTTTGGGTCAATAGATTATCGGGGCGGGTCAGGTATCGGGTCAATTCTTCAGGTCGGCTTTGGGTCGGGTCGAGTTCGGGTCGGGTCAAGTTCGGGTCGGGTCAATTCAGTTCGAGTTAGTTTTCGAGTCCATATATCGGGTAAAGTTTGGGTTGGGTCAAGATCGGGTCGGGTCGACTTTGGGTCGGGTCATTTCGGGTCGATACTTTGAGTCAAGCAATTAAGCTTAAATTAGTAGATTTGTAATTTTTATACGGATTAATTATTAGTTTTTTTTATAGGAAGTATAGTTGTTTGTGTTAATATCATTGTTATTGTTGTCATCATTATTACAAGAATATTGTAACATTAATTATTATTATTATTATAAAGACAAAGTCATACAACCTACAAAAAATTAGTGGGAAGCCGTGATACAATCTGTGTTTGGGGGTTTTTTATGTGTCCTACGGGAGAGTTACAATTTCCTAGTATGCTCCTTCCTTTTCCTGTACCTGCACAAATAACGGAATACTCCGGTTGGGGCTGGGGTGTTCCGCCTCCGAAGATTAAGTTAGTCTCTTTCTTAATGAGGAAATAAGACAATAAATGCTTCTCGATTTGAGAGCGTTTGCAAGGGGATTTGTGTTTTGTTGGTTGGCGGAAAATGATTCGATCCCCATTAATGAGGTCTGCCCTTACTATTTATAGTAGGGGAGAGCTGTACCTCAATTTAGGGTACAATGACACGTGTCGCAAAGGGATTGGGCCTTTGCTGACTGTTGCAAGCTTGATACGTGGCAAGCCTTTATAGGGCCACGTGTCTTAGGGTATTTTTACCCTAAACATCTGCCCCTCACAGGTGTGACGTGGCATGTCCACGTGTCACCTGTGACAAGTGTCAGACGCATGGGAGGAGACGGTTCGTCTTCTTCCCTCCTTTTTTCAAATTTCAAGTTTTTAGGGCAGAAGGCATCGTTTCGCCTTCTGCTCCTTCTCTATAAATGAGAGACACTCTTTTCTCCTCCACACTTTGCATAATTTTTCAAAAATTTTCTGAGAGAGAGCTCTGATGCCGGGTGCATAATTTCCTAAGTTTCCTTGCATCCGGCATTTTCAAATCAAGCACATCCGGCGTCCGGTTGGGTATTCTTTCTCCAATCTCTAAGGTATCGGCTGCTCTTTTATTTCTGCTTTTAACTTCCGCTTTTTGAAGACTGAACATTTTACCCCATCCGAGTTGCATGCCGCCTGGGGGGTCTTTAACCCATCTCTCAGTGCTGAATTATCTCCCTCGGCCGGCATAGCTCCGTCTGAGGGGTCTTCAACCTTTAAGATTAATGCATTCTAAACACCCCCATCCGGTTTAACACCGTCTGGGGGGTCTCTGATCCATTCCCAAATACTTACCTTTAAATAACCAGGCATTCAAAGTACCCATCCGGTGAAACTCCGCCTGGGATACTTTTGAGCTTTTACCACGAAATGATTTCAAAAACCCTAATCGGTTTTAAAGCCGGTTGGGTCATCATCCCTGTCTTTTTCATGACCTTTCCAAATTTTAAGGTGCATTCAATGCACCCCCATTCGGTGACTCACCGTCTGGGTATTGCTTGAGCAGGCTTGCTTCTTTTCTTTTTTCTTTAAACAAGGCTTTTAAAGCATCCCCATCCGGTATTACACCGCCTGGGTATTTGTTTTGTCAAGTGATGATTTCAAAAACCCCAACCGGTTTTAAAGCCGGCTGGGTCATCATCCTTGTCCTTTCATGACCTTTCCAAATTTTAAGGTGCATTCAATGCACCCCCATCCGGTGACTCACCGTCTGGATATCGTTTGAACATGCCTTCTTACTATACCCTCATCCGGTAGTTTACCGTTTGGGGTATGGTTGGCTAAAGTTTGCTTGCATCACCTACATCAGGTATTTTTACCGGAGGGGATACCTTTGACCCAACTTCTTTGATACCGTCTGGGGTATCATGGAGTGAGACTTACATTTTACTATATTAACCAAAGCTTATCACAACCCCTCCATCCGGTTTTATACCGTTTGGGGGTACTTCTAACTTAGCTCACTGAACCGTCTGGGGTATTAGTCAGTGTTTTACAATTTATCTAGCTAAATTTTTCAAAAATGCAAGTCATAACCCCCCATCCGGTCTTATACCGTCTAGGGTACTTCGGACCTAGCTCACTGAATACCGTCTGGGGTGTTTTTGGGCAAGTTAGTGAATAACCGGCTAAGTATTTACTTTGTCTTTTTCAGCTTTAAACACTTTTGCGGATTTCCCCGTTTGAGGTGACTTCAAGCCAACTCTCAACTTTCTCATTTCAAAGGTATCGCCTGCATCCCATACTTGTCACTTTCTTTTATTTCCGGTAGCATAGTATTAGGATATGGATTCCACCAATGCACACACGGCACAGCCTACGACTGTGGTCAGCCGGTCACCAGGAACGGTTGAGTCTAGGACTGGGATTGTCGTCTGGGGGTGCTTGGGACAACCTTCACCTACATCGAATCCGACCGTCTCTGTTCATGTGCAGGACAGAATGGCTCGGATCAGAGTGACGGCAGTCGACCCTAACTACCAGTCCGACGATGCAGCCGTTAATCCGGCTAACCCTATAAATCAAGAACAAGCCGAGGAACCAGCTGAGATGGGTCCTAATGAAGAGGTTTCGCAAAATTCCCCGAATACACCTAGCACACCGGGTGACGGTATCTTGGATAGCTCTGGTTCCAACGCTGAGGAATCCGGAGAGGGATCAGCCGGTAATGAGGAGTCCGGTTCTGATGAGGAGTCTCCTGGAACGGATGCCCCTATTGACGAAGAAGCCTATAAGTGGCCGGCTGCTGGCGACCCTACCGACATGACCATGTCCGCCAAGGATGTGGTCACTCTAAATGCCACTCTCCCTGCTTTTTTACAAAAGAAATCGGTTGGGGAGGGATGGGAAATAGTTGTCCCGCCTGTAGAGGAAAGCGTCGTCTGGACCGACGATGTGGATAATGCCGACAACTACTTCGGCTGTTATGAGGCGGCATTCACAGCCGGCCTCCGGTTCCCCCTCCACCACTGCATTAAAGCCATACTAAGGGGGTATGACTTGGGCGTATGGCAGTTGACCCCCAACTCATGGGTCAACATACTTGAATACATCGCCGCCTACGAGTTACAGGAGGTTAAACCAAGCTAGGAAGCCTTTGCACACATGCATTATCTCAGCAGGGCGCCGGGTGGGTGGAATGCATGGTATACTCTAACCACGCACCCGGAATATATGATGACGTTGGACAAACCGTCCAAATGGAGTAGCTGGAAGAGCAAATTTTATGTCGTCTCTTCTCCATCTCCTCAACTTAATCGCCGGCTGCGTAGATACAATAAACACCCAGCTTTGCTTGGTAGGAAGTGTGCTCTACCTAGAGTGCCAAGCGAGGCATGGGATCAAATCATGCAGAAGGGCCTTTTCAAAAAGACAACCTCCCGCCTAGATGATTGGAGCGAGATAATAGTTCCTCAGTTCTGGGTGCCCCACCCGGACTGGTTCAAGGATGAGGCGTTTCTCTCCGCCTGCAACCTTAGCACCATGTTTCCTAAGAGTAGGTTTTTATTAATCACCGGCCCTAGCCGCCTGATATTGGTACTTAATACTGCATATTAACCATTCTTCTTTTGTTTTTGCAGAAGTTGCGATGGAGAAGATACCAAAAGAAAAGACACCGACTACCTCAGCCGCTCTGCTCCGGAAGGAGCAAATTGAGAAGAAGAAGTCGCAGCTGGCGGCTAAAGATGGCGGGGTAACATTTATTTCCTCTACTTTACCGGTTGCCGTATCTGTATGATGTGTTGGTATTAACCGGTTGGTTTTGTATTTTTGCAGGCTGGGAACAAAGTTGTTCCTCGCTCTCTGTCTAAGATGGTCAAAAGACCGGCGGGGGACATTCCACTGCCTGCTGCTAAGGTACTAAAGATGTCGGTTCCCCCGCCGGCTAAGTCAATTCCAAAACCGCCTGCAGGAGGCAGGCCCACCACTGGAGGCAAAAGCCTTAGTGGAATTGTTCCCACCATTGAAGTGGTGGATGAGGGTGTAAAGGAGCCGGTGACTCCGGCTGGTCAGACTCAAACGGGCACTGGCTTAAACGCGGCTGGGGGTGATTCTACCCCACAGTCCGACAAAGGTATGACTTTTGCCTTTGATCCCCCCTGGCCGCTTGGGCCTATGCGAGTAAAGACCCAAGCTTGCCAATCCGGGGATTCTTCTGGCAGCCGTCAGAATATTGGCACGGCGTATGCCGAACACCTGAGAGATAAATCTCTAATTGCAGATGCTACCTCCAGCCGGCCCAACTATCAACAGTATGCCAAGAGGATGATCCGGACCCTAACCCAGACCGAGAAAGAGGCTGTGCCGGCTGTGCATACAGTCAACATTGACCGGATCACTTCTCTCCTGGCAGAAGTAATTTTACCGGATGCATCACCTTGTTGTAACTTATTTGTTTGCCGCTTTAGTTGTTTAAAATAATTCTAACATTCCTCTACCGGATGATCTCACAGGTGATGCTGAGAGTTGACGGGCTTCAGGTCCCCTTGCGCAAGAAGCAAGAGGAGGTAAGGGATGCCCAGAGACGGGCATCTGAGCTCATTGATGTTTCCCAATACAATGCCATTAGATATGACCTGGAAACTAATAGGCGAGAGTTGGAACATGAGGAATTGCTGAAGCAAACTATTGAGGCTGCTGAGGCGGAGAAGGCGAGAGCGGATGGGCTAGCTCTAAAGGTCAACAATCTTCAAGCCGACCTCAAGGCTTTAGAAGGAGCTGACAAGGAAAACGCCGACCTCCGCGCCGACGTCAACCGGCTCAAAAATGAACTTGCTTCTAGTCAGGCGGCTCATAAAGAAGAGCTTCAAAAAGAACAACGCCGCCTGATTGCTGAGAACGAGACCGACAATGAGGAGCGCATGAAACTCGCCTAGGGGCTCATACACCCGGATTATGACTATGAGTTCTTCGACCTTAGGTACAAGTATGCCTCAGAGGTATATGATGCCAAGGTCCTTGGACTGGACCCGCCTGCTCCCTTTGAGGAATGGGCAGGTTTGGTCGAAGAAGAGCAATAAGAGGGTGAGCAGCAGGCGCAGACTCAAGAGCCGGCTCAGGAGCAGGTGCAAGAGCAGCAACAGCCGGAGCAGCAGCCAGAGCAACAACAGCAACAGGAGCAGCATTGAATTCGTCCTCTCTTTTTTTTAACTTCTTTTACCGGCCCGCGTGCCGTGTGTTTCAATGTACTTTTCCCGGACAAGGGTCCGGTTAACATTCAAAATCTTAATCTATTGGCCGACGCAGTCGGTTTTGC